GCAACACACATTTATAAAAAAAATGGTAAACAAATCAGAACAACACATCTTCATATATGGAAAAATACATAAATATTTGACATAAAACTCACCGTAGTAGAAACCCATTCTGTAGGTTTAGCTAAGTCAACAAAAAACTTGCTGTCAAAGAAAAATCCTTCTGCAGTAACATGTTCCCTGCCAAAGTAATGAGAATTCCATCAAATTTTGTTCTAAACACCAGTGTAGATCAAGTAATGAAAATGGTCTCACATATCAGGTGTTGCGTTCAGCGTTTCATTGAAAAAGCTATACTCAGCAAAGTCGACAGAAGGCAGCAAATCCATGATTTGTCTAGTCTTCCTAAGACTAAAGTGTTTGACCAAACTCATCTCCAACTGAGACGGATGTGCCCTCTGGGTAGGTCTAGCTAGGGAGGAATCATTTAATGAAATGGGTTCCCGCTCTTCAACGTAAGACTCTTTTGAGCCCTCATCATTATGTGTTGCCTGCTCTTCCTTTTCTTTTTCATCCTCTGCTATAAAAAACCATCTGGAAGGTTGTCTTGTAACACCTTTGAAACTGTAGCATCAATTTGACGCCCAACATTATCCATCTCCATAGCCTCGTCCTCAATGTCCTGCAACAATTGACTCAATTGTTTTAAAAGTAAAACTCTGGCGATTTAGGCAGAAAACAAACTATAAACTACTGTTGGAGTAACGGCAAATGAGGTTACTGTCTTAAAAACTTTCAGGGTTTAAGCAAACTTGCACAGTTTTTGATGGATATTGTCATGATGGTCAGTGTTAGGATGGGTAGAATTTGATGGATACTGGAGAAATTGCATCAAACCCCTTGATGGATATTGTAACGATGATAAGGGAAATCAACCAAAAAGTTGTCCATGGACAAAAGTAAACATACCATATCAGCTTTTGTTTCTGCATCATCTCCAACTGACTTCTTTCCTTTACCCTCATCTCCAAGTATCCCAGATTGGTGAACCTCCATTCCATCCTGGACAGCAATCTACTCCGTAGGTCAGTAAGACAATACTAAACTGTCGGTATCCATCGTACACTTAGCCAACCAACAGAGGGTACAGTAAACATACCGTCTCAGCATTCACATCTTTGAAGTCTTTGAAGTCTGACTCATCTAGAAGTGTCCCAGATTTGTGAACATCCATTGCATCACCAACATCATTCTACCAAAATAAATGTTAGACGAAATACAAAACAACATTAACCATAAAAAAACTGATGTTGGTAATGTACAGCCCTTAAAGAACAAACTTCAAACATATATCCTGCCAACTGAGCATTAGCATTCTCCGATTTTGCCTCATCTCCAACTACTCCACCCAGAATCTAAAGAACCAAAAGAAATGCAATCATTCATAACAAACGTTTGAAAGACAAAAATATAAGAGTAGGTACAAATATGAAACCATATTATACCGTGGCGGATTGGTTAAACTCAATTGCATCCTCACCATCATTCTACAAAAAGAAAAAGAAACATCCATAAAATCCTGACTAGGTCATGAAAATGAGCATCATTGGTTAAAAAATACAGAATCCATTAAAAAATGTCCATCAATGCCTATATCGGCCTAAAAGTGTATAACCCACTAACCTCATTTGCCGTTAATCCCACATGTGCAACAACGATGTCTTGCTCAATAGCCTGCTCAACAAAAATGATGCAATTAAGTTAGATTATACCGTTTCAGTGACAACCGTTTAATATGAAACCATATTATACTGTGGCGAATTGGTGAACCTCCATTGCATCCTCACCATCATTCTACAAAAAGTAAAAAGGGACATCCATCAAATCCTGACCATCATAACAAATAGCAATGATGTAATTAAGTTATATTTTTGTATAAGAACAAATAGATAATAAGACAGATAGAAACTGCCAGTATCCATATTAAACCATATGCATCTTTCGATTCATAACAACCGTTTCAAAGACAAAAATATAAGAGTAAGTACAAATATGAAACCATATTATACCGTGGCGGATTGGTGACACTCCATTACATCCTCACCATCATTCTAAAAAAAAGGGAAAATGAACATCCATAAAATCCTGACCATCATAAGACTGACAATCGTTACAATATCCATCAAATTCTACCCATCCTAACACTGACCATCATTACACTAACCTCATTTGTAACATCTTCTTGGCCACTTTGCCACTACAAGTGTAAAGAACAATATAAGTATAATAAATGAGTAACAATCAAGGCCATAAGCTATAAAGTGCTCATACTAACCTCATTAGAACTAAGATTGCAGTGAATGATCTCTTCTTTACGAGCTCGCTTCCTCCGGTGAGAATTACTAGGTAGACTTCTAGATAACCTACCAAGACTTCTCCTATTCTTTCCCTTCTGTTTCTTCTTTAACATTTTTATCTCTATCTTTTGATCAGCTAACTGTTTCAGGAAAACACTCTTCACATCATCTAACTGAGATTCAATCCATCCTTTCAAATTTGCGGATACTCGAGTGGCTGGATGAAAATAAGTCTCTAATTTTTGTTGTTTCCTTTGCGAGACGGACTTCTTCAACTTCTTACTTTTCAAATTAACCTTCTTCTCCTTTACAGCAACACTCTTACCCTTCCTGTCGAAAACATATTTTACATGCTTAACAACAGTTTTCTTCGCTTTAACCCGTACGTACTCAACTGCAGCAATACCTCCAGGCCAAACAGATTTCTCAAACACAAAGCCTGTCCTAATTAGCCGTTGCATATACAAAACACTCCTATCTCTGTCTTCATCATCCCAATCACCCCACCCATCATTGTCAACCCCAACATGGCCAAGTGGTAACACTGGTGTGACTAACAACTACAAAGAAAAAAAGACGTTATATCTAGTCAGTTTCATGAATAACATTATTCGGTTATTTCTAGAATTCCAAATGACTTATTATTACCTCTTCATCATTCTCAACTTGTAGAACGTCATTCATTGACATTGTAGTCAGTTTAGAGAGTCCCACAAAAGATGCATCCATGAATGTCTGGTCGTCGTTTGCATTTGGTACCTTCTTCAACAACAAAGGAATAGAGCGGTAGGCCATTAACTGCAACACAAGTGGAAAACCAACCAATCTTAAAGAATGCTGCTGCAGCTTCTGCCTAAAAAAATCAACAGGTTCTGGACACTTGTTAGTTGGCTTTAGTGCTGGACGCATAGAAGAAA